GCCCCCCCCCCATCAGGGATCCGAGCTACTACAAGTCGCAAGCTCGTTTAAACGGAGAAGGGAGAGTCGGACACTCCGTAGCGCTGTGCCATCGGCAGTTCTTCTTTTGGTTGCTGTTGTTGTTTTTGCTGGACCATCGGACCGCGGTCTCTGCCCGACAGGCGCATTGCACTACACTTAGAAACCTTCTTACAGTAAGTATATCGGCCGCATTGTCTCGACTAATCTCTACATATACTACATGTTGATCTGAAAGGACTTCATCTGGAACTGTCGCACCCCGTGTGGCTTGAAGGAAGAAAGTAGCAATGTCCTAAAGTTAACAGGGCGGTTGGAAGCCTTCTGCTCGTATTCCTTTCTTATACCGGTGTTATATTCCATGTCGTTTCTTTCCCTTCCACCCAGAAGCTCCGTACGAAATAGTGAAGTTACTCCGAACACTATATCATTGAACTGATTCAACACGGCTCTATGCTCCTCAGAGTTGAAGCTCCCGGCAAACTTACCCCTATCTCCAAGCAGGCTTGGGCACCGCCAGGATCCTACACCCTCAGTCCTCCGTCTTTTCGCCTTCTCACAGTCTGATTCAGTGCCTGATAGTTTACGTTTCTTAGAGACACCTTGCATTAAAGAACCATTGACTTTAGGCATGGCCTTGTTGTCGACTTTGACGGCATGAAGGGGCTTTATATCCCAGTTATCAAACTGTAAAAGGGGTATTGACGAGCTGTCTGTGCAACTAAATTTCCATGGACCACTGCGTTCTCGAGCAGCTATAAGCCGTTGCCTGTGTCTCTCCGTAACATTGTAAGATACAAACACACCCATAGAATTCAGAACACTTACAAAGGAGGGGGCTGACTTCACAAATTCCCGCCACAGATGCAGTTACTGTCAAAGGTCCGGACACTCCGTTTGTCCGTGAAAGAACCAACTGCTCTATAACTTTCAACACCCTGACACAAAGTAACAGATCTGTCCGCGAGTAGTCAGAGCCCTTATTCAGGGCTTCCTCGATAGAGGGCTTCGGCATACACTCTGAGGAGTTGCCGACAGGAAATGTATTCAGAATTCGAACACCAGAAGCTTTAGCTGCAATTGTCCAGGTTGTAGTTCTCTTCCTGGATGCCATAGTTAGCACTGCATCCGTCCAGAGGGCCTCTGGAATGCTCACTATCTCTGATGCTAAACTCCATTCCCCTTCCCAGTACACCTCCTTTCTGTCCTGGAATCTCTTTCCAACCAGATCGAGGCAAGCTCTAATCTCATTGCTGCTAGGGCGAATCCAGTCTGATTTGGTTGTGCTACTGGATGCCGCAATAGAGGACAGTAAGTCTTCTACTTGGGTAACAGATACATAGCACCGGAGACGAGACGTTAGTTTCTTCAGAAGTATTCCGTTCCCGGCCAAGACAGACTGTAGTCGTTTCTCCAGAGTTCGAGGATCAATTGCGAACTGATGTACTATGTGGTCTTTCTCATGAATACTACAGAGTCGCTGTCTTGCTCGACATACCTCTGTAAAGGGAAGCATTTGTACAGAATTGCTTGCCTCCCTGCCGGGCAGTATGCATTTCACTGGCAACTGTCTGGCTATTACGGCTACGTCCTGGGAAGCTGTATTGAGCACACTACTGCTTTTTCTTGTCTCGTCCTCCGATTCCAGACTGTAAATTATGCTCCGCACGAGAAACCGATCCACAGAACTGCTTATCCTTGTAAGAGACACGGCAGGACGTGTTCCACTCCTGCCTTCGGTAATTATATAAATACAACTTCTACAACAGTACTGGTTCATGACATAATAGCAGCTGAGCTCTCCGTATGAGTGGCTTCCGATTCTTTCATCCAAGTCTGTGTAGTACTTAAAGTCGTTCAAACTTTCAACGGAAACATCTTTCATGGACCAAAAGCGAGCATTTCGTGCAGCACTGCCTTTTAAAGAGCAACCACGTAGTTCAAATACACATTTTTGTCTTCCGAAACAGTACGTATCCATGGCTACCTCCCGTGCTATCTTGCTATGGTTAAGATGATAGTAGCATAGGAAGTGTACAGACGGGTCCGATAGTAGAGTTTGAGCAGTTACTATTTCGCATCCCGATATACGGGTGAGTTCGCTAGTGAATAACTCTCGTACTGGACCGTCTCGAACGGATATATTGAATAGCTTCCAATCACGCGTGGGATTCCGACGTCTTTCAGCTCTACTTCCGCCATGCAGCTCACTCACTTGTCCGCTACTGCCTCTTTCGACGCAAAGGAAGCATAACCGTGTGTCCCGTGCACCAACATCATCGGTACACCTGTTCTTCCAGGAAGTCAAGGCATTCTTTGATACTGCTGCGCCGTATCTCCGAGGATTACAAATAACTTGCCAACCGTAAGTCCTGTCGCGGCATGTTCCACAGAGATACACAGAGGCTGCACATTCTGTGTTAAGGCGCTTGAAGGGGTTTGAATGGGAGCTAGTTTGCACGGTGGCTCGGGCAATGACCTTCTGAGGACTCAGAGTGACAAGAACACTAGGTTTGCCGGTATTACGAGTCCCATATGCGAAACAGGTAGCTGTACTTCCTACCTTCGCTGCCAGCGGATCGACGGAAACGCTTTTGCCCTGTACCATACCTCAGGCAATCTGGAAGGCAATGGAACAGGCGGATGGACAGTTCAAGAACGAATCATTCCAGCTATGTGGAGGAACTGTCGCTGGAAGAGAACGCAATGTTATGCCGTGTCGGAGATCGGCAGTTGGGCCGATGTGAGAAAAGTCGCGTTTTTGATGTCGTTCATGTGTATTTATCCGGGTGAAAGGGACAGCTCAGCATTGCAAAAAAAGATCATATCGGGCAAATTGCACCAAAAAAACAGGTGGTCACTGACTGTGGGGATTCGGCAATTTGATGCCATCAGTTTGCTCATTTTTGTAAAAGGCGAGTACTCTGTTTGCGTTTGTTGCAAATTGTCGCGGCAGAATGCATCAATATTTGTATCGTAGTGAAAGCTCAGATCACTACCGATCTATGGGTGTGTCCTTTGAAAGGACACACCCATAGATCGGTAGTGATCATGACAAAGGACTCCTTTGTCATGTAATGATGGCAAACAGCCGAACGGTATGCATTTGAAGTGAAATGAGTCAAAATTAGGGATGAGTCAAAATTGAGGATTTATGGAAGTATTCCACGTTTTTTCTATTTCAACAGCATATTCTCGTTGATGTGAGACACAATTAGTCAGGTTTCGGAGGAACTCTGTTTTGACCAATTCTAATAATCCATTGCCGTTCCCTTTGAGTATAGGTTTTCAGTTAATGTGCCATCCACCGGACTACCGAAAATGTGGTCCTGAATAAAGTTTTCAGTAGCAGTTCATTATTTTGCTTTGACCAAGTGTCTTGCCGGCCGATGCCGGAAAACAAGTGCGTGAGCCCCTGCCTTGCAGGTTTCTATTTATGCAGGTGCATTTGCCGTCCGGAGTTACGCTCTCTGAATTCTCTAGTCCTTTATATACATGTGCGCTTTTTTGTCCGGGAGCGCATCTGCCAGGACCCTCAGATGTTGCCTGTTATACACAATTCGTGGCATGTACGTGGAAGACAAGTCGGACATGACGAGTTTGTAATTTGCACAGCGAGTCTAGCACCCTCGCACTTGTTATGGAGAACAAATTCATCACCCTTACAGTGATTCCATAGGTATTCATCTGTGATATGTGGCCGAATTGCTTCAATAGAAAGGAACAATCAAGCTCCAGTTCTTGTCAACAGCACTGCGCATTTCTTCATCGTATAAAACAGGGTACGCTAGCCATCTTCTAGCACTATTTTAAGCATGCCACCCACCACACATTTTACCCCCCATCTCAACTAAAATCGGAAATCCTTCCAGGAACTGTGAGCGTACGGTCCGCTCCCCAGTATTTTGCATTCTAGACATGACGGGGGCCATTTTTTGACTTCATGACTTGGACTCCTGCCTTCAGGAGTGGGCTGTGCTGTCCCTCTGTCACAAAAATGTGTGGCGTAGAAGGCCAATTTGAACAGTGTTCCGATGAATTACGATTAAAAGGCATCTTTTCGGTTGAAGGATCACGAAAACAGTGGAAACGAAAAACAAATACCAGGGGAACTGTGAACGCTTTGAAACAGACTCCCTTGTGATTGAATCGCGAGATTCTTATCATACAGATAGCAAGAAATTGGGAAGCAAGTGAGGTCTTCAACAGCAACACCGCCAATGGTCTAGTTTTTCTTGTAGCGGGAATTATTTTTGGAAGACGCCTGTCTGGAACAAGTGCAGACACAAAGGGCAACTATCTGTACTTTCTCCTTGGTCCGGACTAATATATTTTTAACTGCCGTATGTCTATCCGACACATGGGCATGACTGGGCATCCCCCGTCTTGATGTTGGCCATAGAGTTTGGGAAACAAGCCTCCCTGTATTGAGGTGGCGCAGAGGAAGGAAGTCTTGTGTATAATTAATGATTTACCAGGTAGCCCAGTCCATTATCTCCACCATTGGTGTTTTTCTGACTTTCAGAGTCTCGTATGTCGTTGAGTAGCAACGTATTTTTAACTGGGGTATGCTGACTATTCGCCTATACCTTTTAGTGGTGAGGGTTTCAGTATGTGGCCTTCTGCAAAATCACTCCACCGTATTATAATCCCAAGACACATCATGTTTGCATACTAACCTTCAGTCATACAACTACACATGTGCAACTTTCTTCCTTTCTATCGGTGGGATCTCAATTAGCAAATCAATTGTCTCTTAATTCCAGTCTTGATTCCTTCACAACCGATTTTCTTCTATACTAATTCCATGTATGTACAGCTATGTATCTTCTGTATTCTACTAACCAAGAGTGCTTCTCTGGGAATCACTTCAACTGCGTATTCGTTTGGATGCACAAGCCTTGTTCTCTTCGACAGGTATTCCGTTGTTCTGGAGGGAAAATTCCGCTAGCTGTAGGATTTCGTTCCTTGGCACTTTCCTCTGTTCCACCTTTCTCTGAAAGATAGAGGTGGATTTCGAGTGCACTCCACAACATCCCGAAAGATTACGATGTGAATAACCCATGAAATCCCCTTTACCTTGACGCTGTGGAGTGGGAAGGATCGTTCTGTTGCCCGCTCGAGGGACCTTGCAATCAGGATCGAGGAAGGACCTTGTTATGATGTTGTCGTGTCAATCTATGAAGCTACTTTCGAAGAGTTTCGTAGCATAATGCAGGCATGTCGCTATATATACTCTCTGGAACTGCTTACTACCAGAGCCAAATATGTAAACAACGAAAGAACGGCCATCATGTTGAAAGATCTGTGAGGGGCACAAACGCAAGGTCTCAATCCTTGAAGCCCGAACGATTTTAACGGGTCCTAGAAGTGACAAGGAGTGCTACCCGCAAAAAAGTTCAACAGAGCACTCCCGTCCGAGTGGCAGCCGATGCATGATGTTCCGGAAGTTTGTCCAGTACTCTTCCTTGACGCCCAGGCGTCAGTTCCCATCATCCGGACTTTGCCCTATTTTAGGTTCCCCCGTATCTACTGTACAAGATAAACCGCATCCTTGTCTTCAGAGAATGATTCCTTGCCTTCAGAGAATAATTCCTTGCCTTCTGGCATTTGCGCGAGTCGTTCAGTACCTCGACAAAAACAAGTCAAGGAAATGCGATATTTCCTTAAGCGTTACCATCTATGTTTCACATAAGAGTTCCTATTCTGAACGCCTATATGCTTGCGGGATTTGAGCATATCGCATTTACTCCCTTACTGAGCGTCAGTCGCTGCTCTCCACGGCAATAAGCTCTGCAAAAATTCCATGGCGCCTTGGGTCAGCGACATCTCTCGAGGAGGAGGGGGTGCTCCAATCGGAGCCGCCGCACCATCCCCCGCCAATATTTCTGCCGGTAGATTCGTCGTGGAGTCCGTGAAGTCGGATATTTGAACTGCTTGGTATAAGCCAGAACTCCCCAACCATTCTCCCGCTTCTGCACGACGAGAACGGCACTTTGCTACTCGTGTGTGCTGTGCAGGGTCGCTCACTACAGCTGGCGTAAGGCGCCCGGTGACAGGGTGCGTTCCTGTGCCAGCCGCAGTGTCAAGGTCTCCCGCCGCCCTTGCACAGCGCACAAGCATCTGTTTGTTCGCAGTAGAATTCCACAGGAGCTTGCTGCGTTCTGCATAAACTCTGCACATTCGAAGCAATACTCCATGATCTTCATATCCAACGCTGTACCAAGCCTCGTCAAACAGGCGGTGTTCTGTCCATACGCCTGATTCGTCTTGAACTGCAGACAGTAGCGGCCTGAGAAGCATAGGGAATGTAAGCAAAGCGTCTATGAGAATATCGTCTGGGGTTTGCGCATCAAATGCGTCAGCAGCATCGTCTGGGGCGGCTTTCGTAATCTTCTTCCGCTTGCCAGCAGTGCCGCGACTTGAGATACCGCCAATACCTTGTCGCATGCTCTCGGCCGCAACTGCCGTACTTGCCGCGAAGTTCGGGAAGTATCGAAGCGGTATCAAGCTGTAGTCAGCATGCATATCTTGGATCCATTGGTGCTCCCCGCACAGCAACGCGAAAGAATCTGCAACCATCAGAATTCCCATGGGATCGTTTTCTGGATCGAAGTTCAGGATCAGCTTGCTTATCTCGAGAGCAGTACGGTGCAAACCTCTTCTGGTGAGAAGCTGCGAGTAGCGAAACAGAGCAACATAGATGGAGCGATTCTCCACGAGTTCAAATCGTAAACGACAGTTGCCATCGTACGGCTTGAACGCTACGTTCCAGGAAGACTCCAGAACGTACAGACATCTCTCAATTTGCTCCGCAGCCCTGTCTAATTCGCCCATTTGGCGATAAAGTTCTGCCAACTGCAGCAAGGTATCCACGTGATACGGACATCTGCTGCAAAGCTCCGCGAGCAAGTTGGGGTCATGCGTGCCGACGACGAACCTGTATTCTTCTTGGAGTCGAGCGTATGAGGCCTCATGTACATAGCGAAAATATCGCACGCCCGTGGGATCGGTGTCAGTGTCCTCCGAGTCTAACTGCATAACCAGTCCGGGAGCCTCAGGAAACCAGTTTTCGCGAGGGGATACGAGTGAAACTCTCCTGCGCGGATTATTGCGACCACCACCGCGACCGCGGCGACGGCCACCTCTTCCACTTGCTATCTCTTCTCCCCTCCTCTCCGACTCAATAACCCTCGAACCGAACAAGCGTTTTAACTCAGAATCAGCATTCAGTAATCGTGGTTCGACACGGATAACTTCGGTCAAGGTCTTGATCGAAATATCATACTTGGCTCGGACAGATTCCCAGGTGCCATCGAATGCGATCGCCTCAATTGTCGCCATTATCCGTGTTGCCTCTTCCCTAACAGCTTCGCTGTCATCATTAGCGAAATAAGAGCTCGGAATCCACCCAGGCTTCGTGTCATGTTGCTCTGTTGCGGTGGCTTCATTAAGCGCAATCCAATCTGGATCTGTCTCGCGGTCAATGGGGTCTGCGTCTGCCCGCTTCTTTCCTCTCCGCTTCTTTTTTTTCTTTTTTTTCTTGGTTTGTGTGTTTGCGTGTGTCTCTTTCTCGGTCTCATCTCGCAGATCATCCTGCTCACCATCGCTCTTGGCTTCCACAGCCGGTTCCGTTTCAACAAGCGGTTGCGTGATATTGATAGGGCCCTCGTTGACTTGCTGTGCTTCTTCCGACTCACCGTCGGTGTCATCATTTTGTTCGCCAAGAAGGGCAAACAAGCCCTTGCCTCTGGAAGGGCGTGGGCTCGGAGTTAGTGACTCTTCGCTGTCTTTGTCCACACCGTTGGGTTCAGCGCTTTCGAGTTGCTCCGCTTGAAGCACCTCTTCGTATCGCTTAATTGCTCTTCTGCTCATTTTGTTTCGCTTTCAGCAACTCTGGAATACCAAACTGAGGTTTATGACGCTGAGTTGGAGACCAAATGGACTATAGACTGATGGAGGGCGCCCCCTTAGTGAACAAGCAGTTGGGAGAAAGTCCGGCGGCCGCTGGAAAAACCTCAATGTGGCATTGATCCAGAAGGGTCCTTTGGTGGCCTGCGGTGTACAGTATTTGAGGTGTTTCGAGAAAGCATTTCAGACTGCTGCAGGCTACACACCCACACGTGTACACGTGTACAAATAAAAAGTAGAATTGGGTGCGTTTCTGGTACTGCTGGCTCTATTTTTGCTTCCAACCCTCACGTTAGTAGGGGTTTTACGCCAAAAAAAAGAGAACTTTTGGCCGTCAAATATGGTGAAACGTGATACTGTACCACTCAACACGTGATTCTCACAAGCGGCTGATCAAGCCCTTTCACTTTTCGGGGTGGAGGCCAATTTAGCGAAATAAAAAGCACTGCAGGAAATTTCGTTAATTTTCGTGACTCATTTTTTGGCGGACAGCCATGCCTTTTTTTCTTTGCGGAAACACTTGAGTCGGGAATTCACTCTCTCTATTGGTCGGCTTCTCTATACTTTCACCCATTCCTTGTCCTCCTCACTCACAATTAGCAATCCCGAGCACTCGACCCGCGTGGCGACCTCGCACACCGGACGTATCTCTAGAGTGCTGGCTCAGAGGTCCTGTCGCGAAATGAGCTGCCTGCGAGGGCGCATCTGTCCTCCCTCGTAACAAGTCCCCTCCCCATCTCCGCTACACTTTTTCACCGCTATATATGACGCCATCCCCCTCTGCAGAACAAACACAGCTTCCTATCATTTATGAACGAGAGAGTTTAGCTTATTCAAAAGCGAATCAAGTCTCGGCATGTAGGAGGAAAGCGCGACGCATCCCTCGGCCAGCTGCCGCGCCCCCTGACACCATCGATTTGCTTCTGCATTTTGCCCTAACCGATGGAACATTTGCGCCCGATCCCACGAAATAGCAACCAACCATCTCCTTTCATCCAAAGGAAACTCATCCTTGTGCTCCAGTACAACGCCAACAGCTCTGGAGAAAACAGCATGAGCCCGAGCTGCTGTAGATCCGCGCGAAATCTCCACACCTAAATGTTCTCGCAACGTTACTGCCAACGCACCCAAGTCACCGGCTTCGTCACACAACCGCACGTCACACGCTTTCGCGAGAAGGGCGGCGACGAGATCAGCACATCGCACACGAATTTCACCCGCGTTGTCTTGTAGACCACCAGATGCGTCTTTGAAATTGTGGCTTACAGCGGCCAATTGCTCCAGAACTCCTGCTTCAACCTGCATCTTCTGAAGTGCCGACTCAACGACGCATGCGAGTGCATCAGCGTCGTGACCTCCAACACAGCACCTTGAATCAAGGATCAATAGCAACCCCTCAATCGGATCCTCGCTTTTAGTTGGCGCCACCTTTTGAAGCGCCTCTGATAGACGGCGAGCTTCCTGCACCTGTTTCCTTGCTTTCTGAAAATCCTCCTTTGATGACTTGGGATTCTCGATATTAGCTGACGCACACATCAGCATTGACATCCGTCGCGTTTGCAGAATTGCGGCGTCTGGCGGGAGAAATGCGCTCAATTGATAACAAATATCAAAGAACCCCTCCCACAGCAAAAAGTTCATCTTTGTGCCCTGTTCCCGTCCCTTATTCCAGCTAACGTTTATGAGATATGTCAAGCCTTCATGAATCTTGCCTTTGTCATCGTCGAACGACTGTGTCGGACCAAGATGCTGGATTCCTATGAGTCCTGCTTTCAGAACGGACAAAAGGTCAGTTTCCTGCTTTTCGATACATTCATCCCTAGCTGTTTCCGAGCCGCTCTCCAATACATCGTCTTCCTCGGTCCAACTTAACACTTTCCTGTCAAGTAAAATGTGGACGCATGATAGCAGGACTTTTCCATAAAATCCCTTCGGAAACGTGGCTGATGAGGCGCCTAGATTTTTTGATAGTGAGGCAGTGTCCATGTTCAATATGCACCGCAGGGCGGCAACAACAGATTCCTGGGATCCGACGTCCCTTGCCGCACAGGCTGCCTCTGCAAGGGCACCCGGGTCAAATGACCTTATGTCAGCACTCGCATTCCTCAACTCAACCGCAGCCTTTTTGTGTTCATTTGCAACAAGATGTGCTCTGAACAGCAGAAGGCGGGGTGCAAAGTCGCTTGAATCTAAATGTTTGGCTCTTTCAGCATTCGACCTTGACATTTCAAGTAGTGTTGCAAAAGCAGACTCCGGGGTGCCATCAGTACCGTTTTCCTTACTATCAGTTGGCCACATCGAATTGCTCTTCTTTTTCATATCGTCGATTGCGCAGAGCGCACAGGAAGACGCCAACCTACATACAGCCGCCTCATTCTCTACAACAACATTAGAGGCGTCGGAATCAGATTTTCCAATAAGAACAAGATGTTCCTCTGATGTTTTCAAGGCAGTTTTTGCTAATTGTAAGCATCGGTTAAGAAGCAGGGCAGCAGAATAGAAATCCTTGCGGTCTGCCTGGGACGAACCAACTGCTAAAAGCATGGCAGACCATCGCGCAGACAGCACATCGACCGAGTGCTCCTCATGTGGGACATCATCATGCACGTCCTTGGGCTCTTCTGCATCAGCGACTTTCAACTGTGTCAATGCGACACAACTCGCTTCCAATATCTCGAGAGCTTTCTCAATTTTACCCAATGCGGCCAGTGTTTCGAAGTAACGCATACCGATGGTTCCCGCTATTGCCCGTGGGGAATCACGAAACCTCTCAAAAAGATTCTCAAACCCAACAGCAGCGTCAGAGATTCGTTGTGCATCACCAAACAGAGAAATGGAAGCAATGCATATGTCTAAGCTGTTGTCTGGGTCTTGGACTGTCTTGGTTAAGATATCTAGGGCCTGCGGCTTTTTGATGATCACGCTCAACTTTAGCAATAGGTAAGAACCGACGGGATCATGGCATATCTCTTCAGCTTCGTTCATCAAGTTCCATGAACCCTCATAGTCTTGCAGGGCCAGCAGGCAAACGCCAGCTAGTCGAGCAGTCTTTGCCTGTTTTTTCACGTTCTTCATCGTGTTTGCTGGGTTTCCCCTAGTTTCCATTGACTTCTTCAGCCATTTCAAGGCTCGCTCAGTCTCTTTCGCCTGATAGGTAAACAGGCCAAAATTATATTCCACCGATGCTAAGAACTCATGCTCACCTGGTAAATCATCCATGTACTGTCTGGCATCACTTACATATCGCTCAGCCTCATCACTCTCATCTTTCTCCCATGAACACTCAGCTCGACCCAGAAGAAGGTCGAACATTGCCCTTGCAAATGTTTTCCTTTTGCAAACCTCTGCTCGCGAATCATTCAGGGCTTGTTCGACGAATTCGGCACCCTTCGAAAAGCAGACGTCAGCCATATCCATGTCCCCAAGATCTGTTGAGTACTTTTGTCCGCAAGCAGTATAGAATTTAAGCAGGCTCAATCCGTCGATATTGTAGCGGGCACTGATTCCTCCCAGGACGGTCGTGGCCATATACATGCAGTCAGCAGCGACATGACGAAGTTGCACTAAGGCTTCCTTCATGTTTTCTTCCAGGTTGGAACCTTCAAACGCAATCACGCCATTCCACATCGCAACCCCTGCAATGGCAAACACAAAAATCTGTCAGTACCTTCAAGCACACCAGCAAGTCATCATCTTGTAAAGAGCCCCATTTCATACCTGTAGCTAGCAATCGTTCTGCATCCTCACGTGAACTGATGGCTGTCAGAGAGTTCAAAATAGCCGAGACACGTTTAGGGAAGCCCGGAGAAATCTTTTCCGTCTTCAGTGATTTTGAGGCTTCCGCGAGAAGAAGAGCAGCCTCTTCAAGTTGCTTGAGACTTTGCGCGGCCCGAAGGCGTTCTTCTCCAACTGTCTCCATACCAGAGATGCTTCTCGGCGAAGGTACCGCAGCAGAAAATTTGATTCCTCTGAATCGGCGTAAGGCAATGGCACAAGCGACTCAACCAGGCAGCGACGATCAATGCACCTGTGTTCAGCTATTTCTAGCTCCACGCTGCTCCCTATCACGGCGACACCCCGAAGCGAAACAGCATCACTGCTAATTTTGAAGCGAAAGAAAACCGTGGCCTCCGTCATTCGCACCTTCATGCCCGAACCGCTTCGGCCTGAAAAACATGTATTCTCTCGCGGGCTGGTCGCTAATCACACATGTAACACTTCCCCCCACATGCCGGACAGCGAAGTTTCCTATGGCCGACGCAGTCTGGGCAATAAAACACGTTGCTGGAGCGTGGAGTTCGAATATGCCCCTGGGAATTGCAAGTAGTGCACGGTACGAAGCCGGAGTCATCACATGTGGCGCAGTGCTCGATAAAGTCCAGATCTGGACCGAGGTCGTATGCGGAGTGGGGTGGCTTGCCTAGGGTTACACGCTCCATTCCACATTCGCTGTCATCATCTTCGTGTACGGTGTACGATGAGACTGGTGGACGCCTTCTCTTCCTGTAGATGCTAATGCGTAGTGGTGCAAGCGATATATCTTGTTGCGCTTGGCTTGGCGTGCCAGTTCTGAATTGCAGCGGTACCGAAGGGATAAACGCCTTTCTCATTGTAGAACTAAACAATGTGGTTGGGTCTTCTATGAAATCTGAGTGGATTAGAGCAGCCGTTGATGATACTGTATGACGAAAAAGTTTGAGGGCAGCGTTGCAACTTCTATAGGCAGGAAGGACAATTGATGCCGTCAGAGAATGCGGTTCTTCTGTGTGACTCGTGGTATCGCCTCGCTCTTTCTTGGCGTGCTTGAGAACGTTTGGCTGCGCATGGAGACCAATTCAACGCAGATATCGGAGAGCGCCTTCTGGATTAACAAATGAAGCAGCCAAAGAGATCGAAACCCCCGTCTTCTGCACATATCTCCGTTCTCCTAAGAGTGGCCTACAGTATGTTCCTAGACGTTAGTCTATCTAGGTGTAAGCAAGAAAAAAGGGGACGGCTCGTTACACGTGTTCACTTTTTTCTGTAAAGTACACGTGTTCACATCTCTTTATGAGGGGTGACAGACCGCACACGTGTACATCCAATGGAATCAGTATAAGTAGCATGTAGTGGAACCCAACACAGGAGGTAAAAGGGGTCATCGTTCCCACAGGTTATGCGCCCATACGCTCGCGATCCCCTTCCTCTTCACCAACCGACGTCCTCGCCTTTCCAGCACACCTACCATCAACCTATCGACCACGCTCACCTCACTTTCTTACCACCCACGCAGCCTCCGACGCCAAAAGCTCCATTCCCAAACAGCCACCACGACGTCCCCTACCGACAGACTCCTCCGCCTCCGCCGCCGCCACGATCAAGCAGAAGCACAAGCTTCCATCCAAGAGCTACTCCGACTCGCCCAACTCACACAATCAGACAAACACACACCCTCAGACACAACACCACACACCATGGACCATATCCCGAAAGTACAACTTCCCACCCTTGACCCCGACAACCATAACACGTGGAATCTAGCACTCCGTGCCCAAGCCGCAGCCATGGATGCACTAGAACACATTACGTCCAATCCGACTCCTCCAACCGATCCTGCCCTCCTTAAAACGCATATTCGACACAAGAACATTATTCTCGCATCGATTCTCTCCTCAGTCCCGACATCCATCCTCAATCTCATCATTCAGCCTGATTCCGATCCCTCTCCCCACGACTTACTCCAAGCCATTCATGCCCACCTCCTCACCAACACGTCCAACGACCATAAATTTCTAAGAGTCCAAGCTGAAGCCACAATACTCACCCCCGACATGTCCATCAACGAGTATATCACCGCACACGAAGCCATCAGATCTAAAATGATCGCATCCCGTTACCCCGACATCAGCAACCAAGCCACGACCGTGGAATTTTTAATCGATGGCATGCGCCACCACCCCATGACTGCCGAAATTGGCCGACAGCTGCTCAGCCTCAACCCCTTAACAGTCAAAGACTACCTACACAAATACATTCGACTCCAAAACTATAATAACACCACCCAACCGATCATCACATCACCGCAAGGCATGCAGCACGGGCCTCCAACGTACCCATACCCACAGCTACACGCACCGTACCAACCTCAACCATACCGCCAACCCCGCACCTGGAATCGTACACCCCTCCCACCCCACCCCAATCCATGTCAATTCCACGTCGCGCGCGGCACCCGCCCTCAGCACTCAGACGCAGAGTGCAATCACCCGGCACACCCACGCCACCGCACTACCCCACAAGCCCACAGGACACCGCAAAGATCCCTCAAGCCTCGACCACAAGTGCACTTCACCCACGCCCATCCCGATGCATTCCAAGAGACACAACCCACACCCAACATGAACGATGCAGAATCCGACAACAGCCCCGACATCAGCACGTTCATACTTGACTCCGCTGCCAACCCTACACACACCACCCACCCCACCTCCACAATGCCCCTGCTAACGCAGCCCCTCTACACCCGCACTGCGTCCAACCAATCGCTCCCTGCCACACATTCCGGACAGCTGCAGATCCGCCCCACTACACCTAACACAGCTGCCACCATCACCCTACCGGCCATTACCACACCTCAAATTAGACACAATCTCCTTTCCGTCCACGACCTCGCCAAAAGCTATGGAATGGTAATATTCACCCAGCACAGTGGTTACGTAATCAATGTTAAAGACAAAAAGCAACCCGACATTATTGCGCAAGCTCCCTGGCAACAGGGTAGCTACGCGTTCCACGCAGAACACAACACCCATCCCACGGCATTCACCGCACGAACACATCACCGTCAAGCACACACACGATTCAAAACCGGCACCACCACCCCCCAACGCAAGAACACCACAACAACAATACAAACTCCACCACCCATC